TAATGGCTTCCTTGCTATTTATTTATGCCTTTGCTTTTATTATTTCCTCTGCTTGGAGTGATTTGCAGATATTTTCTCGTAGTCTGGGAGCTGTGTTTGCACATTCTTGAGGTATCCTTTGGAGCGCAACATTTTTTAATTTTGATGAAGTTCAATTTATCTTTGTTTTTTCTTTTATCATTTGTACTTTGGGTGTCATATTTAAAAAATTATTACCTAATCCAAGGTCATGAAGATTTACACTTTACTATACTTGTGCTTTCTTCTGAGAGTGTTATAGTTTTGGATGTTACACTTAGGTCTTTGATTCATTTTGAATTAACTTTTGTATATGGTGTGAGATATTTTTAGTTTTATAGCATTAATATGTCAGCTTGTTTTCTTTTTGAAGTTATATGGGTCCAAGCTGAGAGTCCATCATGTTTGATAGTATCTTTTTTTTAATTCAAGTTATTTCTCTAGGTGAGTGGAGCTGTTAGCTGTTTTTTCAAATGGGAATTTATGTTGCAGCCCTACTGCTAAAAATAAAATATGATTGTAAGCCTATAAACTGTTAACTGAGAATATTTATGTATTCATACATTGACTTTTACTGTAATAAAATAGGCATATGAACTTTAATTTTTAGACTTAGAAAAACTTTGAGCTGTAGGGCATTTTAGAGCTTATGTTGTCCACCCACCATACCTTTTCTTTAAACCATTGCTGCATTTTGTGATTAGAGGGAGTTGATAAAATATAATTTGTTTACTTTTTTACTACATAAAAGGCAGATATATTGAAAAAATTGAGTATATAAATGTCTTTTAGTATATAGATTTTGATATGAGAAAAACTGTTCCATTCCTAGGGAAACCAGCTTAAGGGTTCTGGTGGAGAAAACTACATAGCTAGGCGTACAGGTGCCGCGTTTGCTCGGTGTTGCTTAGTAGAACCCTCATAGAAGTCATTTCTTTATAACATTTTGAACAACCTTGATTTGATACTTCTACAGTCCATCTTCATTATACATGGATTCCGCACTTGTGACTCGGCCTTCTCAGCAAACTTTATTTGTAACTCTAAAAATTGATATTTGTGATGCTTTTGTGGTGATCTGTGCAGCAGAGCAGTGAAAAACAAAAAAATGTGAGTTGCTGAATGTTCACGGTCCCAGCCAAGGTCAAACAAGGTCATGCTTTGCCTTGTTTCAGCTGTCATGCTGTCAACAGGTGTCTTTTTCTCTGTCTATTTAGGGCCAGTTTTTTTGCACTTCTATGTTTTTGGTGATTTCACTGTTTAAAATGGCCTCAAAGCGGAGTACTGAAGCGCTGTCTAGTGTTTCTAATTGCAAGAAGACTGTGATGTGCCATATGCAAAAAATGTATGTTAGATAACCTTCATTCAGGCCTGTGCTCTTGGCCTTGGATTCAATATTAATGAACCACCAGTCTACCTTAAAGAGTCTTTAAACAGAAACACACAACCACCAACATTACTGATTGAATGTGGCCAAGGGATCGCAGCAGCCTAACCCTATATTTCCCCTAGGAACAGTGTTTTGGAATTTGCTGTGACTTTTTAGAACATAGCTGCTGTGAATATTGGGAATTGACTATTTTAATTTAAATATCAGTCCACCATTGATTTGAAATGTATTGAAGCCATGTTAAAATTGGTAACATGTGATGTTGTTGCTACCTCCAGGTTCCTTGTTTCTTTTTTCCATTTTCTACTATAGATCAATACCTTCCCCCAGTTTTTTTGTTTGTTTGTTTGATGTTGGTTTTTTTTTTTGGAGTTAGAAAATTCAAGTTAGTGGTTTTCAATTTTGTCATTATACTGAGAATCACCTGGGAATTTAAAAAAAAAAAAAACAAAAAAAACAGAACAAAACTGTCCCCAGTGGCATTTTATTGGTCTGACATGCACCTTGGGTATTGGAATTTTTCTCAGCTCCTAGGTAATTCTACTGTGTAGCCCAACTTGAGAGCTCACCTTCACTACAAGTGGGAGATTCAGGTGTGCGCATTATGTAAGTCGATAAGATGTAATACCGCTCTTTGTACCAGATTTAGAATTCAGGAGATGGAGACATACCAAAGTCGATACCTCTGAAGAGATCT